CAGGAGCTCACCACCATCTAATGAAACCAGTTTCAGGCTCGTTTGATAAACGGCTATAACCTTGGTACCGTTCACCGTGCTAGTCACCGAAAAAGATGGTTTGTTTGTAATGTCCTTTTTTACGGCAAAACTTTTAGTAATCATTGTGGTGTCGGATCCATTGTTGATGAATTTCGTTGCTTTCAAACCCCCTAGGTGTCAATATACATACTGATGTAACCCCGATTTCCACGTTTTTGCTCGTTGATTGTGATAGTAGATATACGCTTGGTTTTTGAAGTGCTAGTAAGTGCATTTCTCGTGAGGAATGTAAAAGATTGTAGTGATTTCCTTGACACCCCTTCTAGCTGCATCTGCTACGATTCCTGCAAGTGGCCGCAAGATGTGAGTCATTCAAGCACACACCATGCCTTTTCACTGCTTCCCAACGGTCCGGCAAATCCAACTGCACACATTTGTCGCATATTGATAGCTCATGTTTCAGACGACACATGGGAATCTGTGTGCACTACGTTCTCATAGGGTTGCGTAATCGTCAGCATTTCTTCGGTTTCTTAGGATGTTGTAGGCTCACGTTTTGGTGGGCTGTCTTTCTTCTTGCCTAATCATGCTGGCAAATTGGCCAAGACGATTACTGGTGACCTTTGCACGAGTTCAGATGAATCCGGTCAACTCAGTAAAGTTTGGTTCTTGCCCCAAACGACCGATACTCACCACTTCCTCCGCCAATTGTTGTTGGACATCTACCGGTAAGCATCAGACTATCGATTATAAAGTGTTTAGGGCATTTATTAANNAGGCGTATATTTCACGAAGCCCGTGAAGCATGCACAAGGCATGATTAAATGTTCTGAGCGAGTATACGTACAATAACAGTGTAATTACATAGGTAGACAATAATATATAAAAATGGTGAATTTAGATCTGCTTCGTAACTCATCTGAGTCAGTGCAATGAAGCAGTTCTGCATCCTCAGCACTAGAATTACTAACAATTCGGCTTCGTTTGTGGTTTTACGAGTTTTGGCCAACACTCCGTTTATGAGCATCTGGGCCACTGAAACGGTTGATCAAAACGTTCCTTTAATATATACCTTGCTCTGACGTATCCTAGTTCATTTGGCAACATTACACATCCTTCGACGGTGTGCCACGATTTGCCACGGCAATGGTGTTTTAAATAAAGAAACTTCTGGGCGGGATCGGAGACTCTGCAATCAACAAAGTTGTCCAATTCTCTGAAAAATCTCCAGTATCTGCTGGAGTTTACGTTGAAACATGTCCGCTCCACCTCTGTTAGATCTATCCCCGGATTACGGTATATAACATCGTTTGGAGGAGGTTTAGCTACTCCTTGTACGAGCCTAATAGGTAAGCTTTGCTTTGAGGTGGTGGCGCGCTATTCGTGGTGGTTTGACTGGCTTGTGCTTCCCTTAGCTTCATTGACCTTGTCTTCTACTCTAAGTCCACAATCTTACTAAGATAAATGTCAGAAATCTTAACATCTGTATCACAATCTAAGACGCAGACTCCTAGCAGTACCATTACTAGCTTAACTATACATTAAAGAACTGACCCCTCCCTCAAATTCCCCAGTGACCCATCGGGTTAAATCCTGTCCGTCCTCCTCCAACCGTCCGTTTTCAACCGACATTTTCTTGCTCCAAGTTGCACGAAGTTTGAGTAATGTCTTCTGAATAAACGAACGAGCAACGCGTAGCCAAGATTGGATCCCAGAACGTCAACAAAATGAATGATCCAGCAATATTGTACGGTACTACATTAATAAACAGTCAAACCAGCAAATGAATCATGTACAGACGTCGAAGATTATCCCAGAACAACTTAAAAGCAACAGCCAAGTGTTAATGTGAGCGCAATTCAAAGAATCTGAGTGAAAGAAATGGGTCTGCACAGGAAAAGCACGCTCACCGTCACGCTGCGCATGAACGAGTCAAAAATGACCGGTCAGATTACGACTAAAACAAATCGAGTACGAGCGAGGCAAAAGCAAACAAAGTCAATTAATGGAGTTGATTTGTAAACATGCAAAGGAGTCGGAACGCCAAAGGTGTGTATATATAGGGCGAAGGGTGTTGAGCCAATGAAACATGAAATTCACGAAAATGGGTCAAAGGTGGTGTTATAGCTGACCTTTCGAATCTGTGTTATACGCGTATCGTTCAACCGAACACCTTCGTGATCCCGAGGTTCGTACGTTTCTTTATCGAGAACCCAACGATTACCCAAAACGTTTAGCAATAATGAAACACAACGAACACCGATCAATAGTGGAATCACGTGTATTACGGTGTCTAAAAGTGTACTGTGGTATAAAAAATCTCGTAAACATACTTCACTATGATCTTCAGTAAGCGGACAATACAATAATAAACGAACGGTTGGAGTGTGAATGCCCAACCACGCGGAATCAAACGAGAATGGAAACCATTATTTTGTACAGGAATAATAATAAATGTTACAGATAAGTAAAGGCCAGATTAAAAGATAGAAGTGAGAATGCCACTCACAATAACTTATTTTAATTATCAAAATGTTGTTTACATAATCATCTACGGTGATTCACCCAACGGAACAGGTGTTTTGTCTGGGGTTTACAGGAAGGATTTTAACATATCGATAAGTAGAACTTTTTGTGTTTTTGGCGGATTTTTGTATCTTCGAACACTGCGTATAGTTAATTCCAACAATCAACCGTGACTTTCCGTATTTGATGATGGATCCAGTTTCATCAGGCCTCAGTGGGCGCCTCCAGCTTGGATGTTTCAGAAAACAGGCACATGAGAACTCAGCGGTCTAGAGCTTAGCCAAGCTAATGTGAGCTAACAATTTGTACCACGGACCACGAGGCTGACGATTGATATCTGGGAGGATCAACGTAAAAGCATCTGTCTCCTTCATATACCCCTTTATGTAAACAAAGAACACTACTTAATAGATTACATGAGTGTTGAATGAGCTCCTTACGCCTCATTGGGCCAGTCAGCTAATTTTTCCAGCGACTTCAAACTCCAAAGCAATGGTCGGCTTGGTTGTTGGTATATCTGACGTACCTCCGTTGATGCATTTTGGTCCCTTCGTACACTAGTGCTAGCCGGTTAGACAGGAAAGTGCTAGATCTGATACCAAAATTAAACATCGCCGAAACCTACATAGCATAACAAGTTATTGTTCAAAGAACCACTCAGTAAAAAAAGTGCCGTCACCAGACATTCCACCTGGCACAAACCGTCAGCAATATTATTTTTAGATATCTCTTAATCACGTCCGGTTCCAATACATACCGGTGAAAGGCTCGTTAGTCTGGGAGATGCTTGGATTTTCAGCCGCAAGGATGTCACAAAAATTGCCATCATTTAATTTAGACGTAGGTTGAGGACCCAAAACCAAATACAATCATGCATTCACAAACTTACCAACCATGGGTTGAATGATTTTTGTTGTCTGATTCCTGCATTGACACCTCGGGTTACGTTTCGGGGCACTCGGTTGGCAAATAAGCCTGCAACTATCAATAAATGATTCACCTATTTGACCCACAAAGTAATTTAACCGAAGCGCGGCAAGAATTCGGTATATCGAAAAAAATTATGGGCAGTTATGAGGGATTACACAGTGATAATAGATGAAAGATAGCAAGCAGGCCACATTATCAAGAAGCGGACACGCTAACTTGAGAACAGTAACGACCGCCCACCAATAAAACTACTTGCAATCAATTAAAACAAACAACCCTCTGGAAAGGTTGTCATGGATATAAATATAACTTAAATTTTACACATTTTTCTTTAGTAGATTGAAGCTTTTATATCCAGATTGAGAAAATTTCAGTATCTCCGGTAGGATTCGAATCTACACATTGACGACTTCTACGCCTTTATACAGCGCACGCTCTATCAGCTGAGCTACGAGGCCGCACTGACACTTGGCGTCCACTCGGGGTAAGTTTCTGAGGCACCGAAAAACCTATATATTACAGGAAACGAAGAATGAGGAATGGAAGAAGTGGTGTTAAAATCAGTACGTGCAGCATACGTAATAAATGGATGGCGCTCTGTGAGGCGGCAGGTAAATGCAGCGCAAGCGTAGTTGCAGTCACCGAAACTTGGTTATCTAGAGATGAACACTTACCCGAGTCTTCCAAGAGCGCCATGCAACTTAAAGACAGAATAGAGAGCATGACTGTCTGGGAAGGGGAGTAGCCATCTTCATTAGAGGTGGTACAAGCCATCTCAAATCTCAGGTCAGAGTACGCATCAGGAATCTTCAAGTACGCACTGTCACACTGATCTTTCGAAGAGTAGAGTTAACGTGCATGCGTTTACCGGTTCCCTAGTTCGAGTCCTGAAGAGGATATTAACCTCCTTCGAGTCCTCCAGGGAATTAACCTGGCAGGACTCTGATAGTGACAGATTTCAACATGCCGAGCGCTGATTGGGTGCTTGAACCGAGCACATCAGGAACACAGGAAAAGGCATTCCTGGGGTGACTTTATGAAAAAGTATTGAGGCAAACCGTGAAAAAACACCAGATACAGGACGGGCTGCCTTCCCTCACTCCTTGATCTTGTGATTACGAAGCGGATATCATAGATTTGAAGTTACTACCACCGTTAGGTGGAAGCAATCATGTTTGCATGAAACTTATCTTCTGCATACGGCATCCAAAAGCTAGTACTATAATGGCTAGAATCTTCAGAGCTATGAACTTGTATCTCATTAGCAAAGCAGCCCAACTAGCCTGGGACGCCAAAGTAACCACTATCGATGGGCTGTGAGGAGTAATTTAGAAATCGCAGCACGTTCTTCAACGTGAATTCGCAGCGTTGTAACCCAGACGGCACCTAACTAAACCGATCTCTTGTCGAGCGGCGATAGGCAAGGCCATCAAGCGCAGAAACAGAAGTTTGCACTTGTCCAAATTTCTGGGAGCCGCCTAGCTTGGACGCGCTATAAAACCTTCGGGAACACAGCAGTGGAAATGGTACGAACGGCCAACCGCGACTATGAGTTAACGCTGATCAAATACGCCAAGGACCATCCCAAGAAATATTACCATTATGTACAATCCAAAGTGGCACTTAATGATGGCGTCGGGCCGATCGAATGGTACTCCGCTGCTACTGACGAAAACAGCAAAGTGGACACACTAAATCTCTACTTTAGCAGCGTTCACCGTACTTATAACGGTGTGCCCATAATCCGGGACCCGGAAACTCCTCCAGCAGTTATAGACGATTTTCATCTAACGGACAATATGGTTAGAATTCATTTATGGAGCTTCAACATGAACGAGTCGGCTGGACCTGACGGTATTCATTCGGCCATTGTGGAACCATTAGCGAGTATCTTACCTAGACCATTGTCTCAGCTATTCAAGCTAAGCCTAGAACAAAGCATTCTACCACGGGATTGGAAATCAGCCGCCGTGGTAGCCATACATAAAGGAAGGCCCAGGTCAGAATTAAGCAACTACCGACCGGTAAGCCTAACTAGCACACTTTGCAAGGTGTTGAAAAGGAATCATCAGGGTCCATATCTGTAAGCACTTAGTGGATCGTTCTATGCAGCCCCCTGCTAGGCATGGGTTCCTGAAAAACAGGTCGTCTCTCACCAATCTCTTGATGATGAAGTGACCCGCAGGTTGGATGAAGGCAACAGCGTAGAGGTATGATACCTTGACTTCAGTAAGGTGTTCGACTCTGTGAATTATTGATTGCTGTTGAGCAAATTGAAAGCCGTCGTCATAGCGGGACAGATATGCAGCTGCATATCTGACTTCCTAAGTTGACGATCCTTCTACGTAACAGAAGGTAGTTACAACTTCAGTCTGAGGAACATCACTGGTGGAGTACCTCAATGATCTGTATTGGGACCCATCTTATTCTTGCAGTTTATAAATGACTTAGATTTAACGCTCCAGTTGCCTAGCTTTTTCTTCGTGGAGGATGTGAAGGTGGTAGAGTCAAAGGGGAGACAGAACCTGGACAGGGATATTGCTGCAGGTTGCGAGCAAATACTGATGAAATGTAGTAAGTGTACGAATGCATGTAGCTGTGAATGTTGTGCCAACGTGCACCAGAGGGAAGGTGTTTGATCTCGAGTCAGGTTCTTGGGAGGAGGGAGATTCCAAGACGTTGCCATAACAGTGTCGCACCGGTGGAGGACAAAGATTGGATACGAAAAATCTTCAATCTGGCCCCAAGCAATGTAGGCCACTGGTTGTAAAAAGCAAACACTTGAGAATGCAAATTGTAACCGTCTTCGAAAGCTTTTGCACACAATACTTTCCCAATTTAATTATTTTCCCTTTCTTATATTTTCCATCACTGTTATGAACCCAACATTTATCAGTTGTTTTAAACGGCCTCCTTATCACCCGGTCAGAATTTTACGCTCTCACTCCGTGATTTTCTTAATTGTTTGTCGTTCTGTAACTGGGACGTACGACGATTTCGTAAATCGCAAATATGTATTGATGTATGTCTATAGTAGGAACGAAATTTCAACTGTCGTTCAACTGTTTTCCTGCGTNTAACCTACATGACACGGGCGTTTGAACAATGAGGTAACAGCAACTATCCCACCAGCATCTACAAAACAAATGACGCAAGACAGTAATCAAAGGTAGTTATTCAAATGTCAATTAAAAATATTCCGATTCAAATTTATGCTCTCACTCCGTGATTTTCTTAATTGTTTGTTGTTCTGTAACTGGGACGTACGACGATTTCGTAAATCGCAAATATGTATTGATGTATGTCTATAGTAGGAACGAAATTTCAACTGTCGTTCAACTGTTTTCCTGCGTGCTGGAAATTTGGTCAGTCGTAGTCGATACATTGCGATTCGCAATGAGCGTTGTTCGGATTGCCGTTACAGCTTGAAACCTTGGTCAAATTACGTTCGGTGAGCTCTTCTACATTTTTCTTTGTTTCTTCAATATTTTGTTCTTAAATTGAATTTAATGTCATGTCAACGTGGTCATTCAACCTCAGTCAGACTATCCACCTCCGGAGAAAAAGAAGGTTAAGAAACCACCATCGTTAAGGGCTTGAGTGCTGCGCCATCTTTGGGAAGATCACACCGCAGCACGAGCTATGCAATGAAAAAGGCAGAAGTAGAATTACGGTTGTTGAGGGATAGACACCGATTAGAATGTGTGGTAAAGGAAACCGTTTTTCGATAACAACTGTGCGAGGCCGAGGCTAAGCTGGCTCTTGCAGAGATTGAGTGCAACAGCGATGCAGAAGACGCAGCATCCAGGTGCTCCAAGTGAAGCTACAAGGAAACAGTGGAAACCTATCTAGAAGAGTGTGCCCGATGTGAAGTTTAGTAGGGGCGTGAGAGAATTACCTGCACCTAGGCATGCCAGCCTTCACGGCTTAGAACCCCCGCCGCTAGAACTCATTTCCTTCGATGAAAACGCTGCAGAATATTGGAGATTCAAACAGCAGTTCGATGGCTCCTTTGCTAGACTGTCTTGTGGGGAAGGTAGAAACCTGGCTTATCTGTTACGCTATTGTAAGGGAGTAGCTAGAGAGGCAATAAAACCGTGCATGCTAATTTCAGAGGAAGATGGCATCATACTGCCGGGGGATACTCGATAAATTATTGGATCGACGGCCCGAAGCGGTCAAGGATGTAGTAAAGGATGTTCTAGGTGAAACAGCAGAATTGAGAGGAACAGGTGAGGGCCTGAACAGGCTTAGCATTGAATTGCGAAGGTGCTACATGAACCTAACGGAAATGGGATGTGAATCCGAGTTTGATTCCATACCCGTGCTGAAGTCATTAGTTACACGATTGCCTAGACGCTTACAACGTACGTGGGCCGAAGTGGCTGAAAGGATCGTATCCAATGGCGGACGGTACCGGTTTATCGAGTATCATTGAAATGAAACAAAGTCAAGGATTCAGAACAGCCCTTTTGGAAGGCTAGTGGACACTATAGGTTAATCACCCCTGGGGCCGTCGGTGTAACACGCATATGAACGTCACTACAACTAGACAAACATCAGAATCATTACAGAACTTTCAGTGCCCTTTGTGTCGGAAATCACAACCACTTACTAAATGTGAAGGTTTCCTCAAATCGGCTGTGGTGGGGGATGAAAAACTGTGGAGAAATTAAAGCTTCGTTATAAGTGCAATAAATATGGACACCTGGCACTGGCATGTGAAGTAAATGGTAAATGCTTGGTTGATGGTTGCACCAGCAAGCATCATAGCCTGCTTCACTTGTCGCTTAGGGATTAAGTTTCTGCGAATGTGCAAGCAATCGTGGGGGATTCATGTTCTGCGCCGAATGATATTACTTATCTCAGAATAGTCCCGGTAAAAATAATGCACGGTGACAAATCATTGAAAGTATATGCCTTGCTAGGTAGCGGTTTGGATACCACAATAGTTAGTACGGAAGTTTCCCAACTGTTGGGGCTAAGTGGCCCAGGAGTACGAGTGAACGTTCACACCGTGGCTGGAGAGCAACATATAGTTAGCCAAAGGGTGTCATCCAAAGTTAGCTCCCTTAGGGTTGTTGAAGGCATTAAGGTAAGCGATGCATGTATTGATCGATCTGTGAAAATCCTTCCTGTAAAGCCCAGTCATTCCATCTCGGTTCCACATTTCGTGAATTTTACGTTCCATTCACCAAACCTCATCCGCCTCACATACATATAGACATTTGACGTTCCACTC